CAAATGATCGGCTTCACTTGTCTCTTTGACAAGTTGTAGTTTGGTGCTAAGAATGGCGAGGCTCACTGACGCTGACGACTACGACGCCGGAGGACGTCTGAGAATGTACGAAGTCCACAGTCCGACTCTGGAAATGATCAGGCATACTATGGACTCCGGACATGGTGCGTTACTCTTGATCTTCCTGCTATTGTGACCATTTTGTGAAAAAAAGGTCAAACAACCTGGATACAACGAAATGAGAAAGCGACTATACAAAAGACCACACCATCATGTTCTTCATATCTTCGGCAAATTGGGTAATTGTGGTGCAAAAGAATACTTTTAAGGTATAACTTATTAATGTTTAAGTGGCTTTGAGTTCGTTTGAGGAGGTGGGTGGAAGATATTCGTACCGTGGCGTTTGTGGACGCTATAGGGGGATGGCATTGGAGCTGTGATTGTTGTTTCGTACGAATAGGTCCTCGGGACACCGAACTGCGACCCCGATTAAAGCTTAATGAGCGTATACTGGCGTACCTTTCATTTTGTTTGAGAAGACGGGTCGCAGGGATTCGTAGATTGGCCTCACCGGACACAGCAAGAGGGTTGGCTTGGATCCTCGTCTGTTGAAATGGTGCACATCAAATCCACATTAAGATTAATAAGTACATCTCTACATTTTATTTCCTATTCATCGACTTACTGAACGAATTCATAAGAGCTGCCTATTGAAAAATTTTATGCCTCGAAGATTTGCTTTATTTGCTGACAGATATATCGTAAAGTTTTATGCATCATGCTACCCTTATTTTTGACTATAATTATGTATGGATTCATTCCTTATGTATCTTGGGCAGACCATATGCCTTTGGGCGCCAGGCATCTCGTTGAAGTAATGCATTCACTTTTCACCTTCTTAATTCCACGTTTCTTACACAACTTTCCAGGCAACGCCTGAGTTTATACTTGATAAAGAGGTATTAAAAAGACATTATTAAAAAGGAACAAATAGTGTTAAGGGCAGACAAGTTAGAAGCAGTGAGATGTGCCATTGAACGTAATCACATGCGGCAACATGTCCAAGAAGGACCTTATTTTGCTGGTGTAAAGCCCAAAATGGCCTGCATACTTGCATCTTGCTTCTTCACTTCTAACAAGATTACCTCAGAGAAGTTGGTCCGACCTCGTTTTCGCAACTTGGTCGTGATGTCAGGGCGAACTAGTTAGACCTATCTTGTCTGAAGTCCTCTATTATACTAGTTGTCATAATTACCCAGCGTTACACCGTGGACTTGGTACATTCCCAGACGTTTCATTGTCATAGTAGTCAGCATCGCCAGTTAATCTTAGCATTCACAGCACCAAGCTACATCCCGTCAAAAGAGACGAAGAAATGGTTTCGAACAGAACAAAGGTGTGGCGAATGTTGTCAGATCTGACTTAAGGAAAGATTTGATTGACAGAGTAGATGGGATATGTGTGATCTTGCTTATGACCAAACATGAAGATTTGGAGACTATACTTTTTTGCGTATATGAAGAGAAGCAATACTCCGATAAACCTCCGAAGATATCTTTTTTGAGCTGACTTTCGCCTCGTGTGAAACTGCGGCACTAACTTTAAGGTTATCGAAGACCTCGAGACGACCTACCTCGGTTTCGGAGCCATTTTCTATCTCTTGATGGACATTGCTCTGCTACTGCTTCTGCTCCGCCTGTTTTTCTCACTGCCAATGGCGCCGTCGATACTCTTCACTTTGCAAGCTGTAACCTGAATTTTCATATTCATTTGATGATGCGACGAGCCGTTTTTATTGCTTTAAGATCCACACAAGAAGCATCAGCAATGTCTTGACTTGTCAAGAACTTTCCTCCTCTTTTCTTCGTTTATTTGCCTTCTCTAGCTGGAGGGTGGCTCTATGGCCAAACTGATTATAAGGAATACACCGATCCCGGTACATTCCCAGACGTTTCATTGTCATAGTAGTCAGCATCGCCAGTTAATCTTGGCACTCACAGCACCAAGCTACATCCCGTCAAAAGAGACGAAGAAATTGTTTCGAACGGAACAAAGATGTGGCGAATGTTGTCAGACCTGGCTAAAGAAAATATTTGATTGACAGAGTAGATGGGATATCTGTGATCTTGCTTATGACTAAGCATGAAGATTTAAAAATCCTCAATAAGACACAAGTAGCATCAGCAATGTCTTGACTTGTCAAGATCTTTTCTCCTCTCTTCTTCGTTTTTGCCTTTTCTAGCTGGAAGGTGGAACTATGGCCAAACTA